AGTTTAAAGAACTCTGAAACAAACCTTGCAATAAAAGTTGAGGGGATGGAGCAATACTAATTGTTGTTGGACAGAATTTTGTAACACATTTCCTTATATTATATGTTGTCCATAATGACTACATTACCACCTTTATCAGATGGTTTAATTGTAATGCTGTTAATTTTCTGTAGGGTGCATAGCGCTTCTTGTTCCATAGATGACAAATTGTCACTGTAAAACTGATTATAGGAGAGTTTTTTGATGTCTTTTATTGTTTGTTTAAGGAATATAGCAATGCTAGGATAATTGCTCAAAGGTGGAAACTTAGAGGACGGCTTTTTAAATTGAGTCAAGGAATCGAATGGTGATTGGTCTAATTCCCACAATAGTGAGTCCAGATCGAGTTGATCAATAAGATCACTGGGTCAGCTTTCTTTCATCAGGAGCGTAAAATCTCTGAGGGCTTTGAAATCTCTGCTGGAGTATTGAGACCAATCAAAAGATTCAGTTACATTGTCAGATTTTCGCATGAGTACATCTTAGGCAAAGTTGTCTGGCAAAAAGCTGTAAATCCTTAACTAATTCAAACTCATTTGTATTTTGATGTGGACAAAAGCTTAGCCCGCGAGAGAGAAGATTTTCTTCGGATTGGGTCAAGGCATATGAGGAGAAATTGACAATATTCAATGTAGAGGTCAATTTTGGGTCAGGTAATGTTCTATCCCCCAGCCCGATCTCCCCGTTCGGAGGCCTCTCCCCCGAGTGCAGCCTAAAAAAGCAGTAGAATGTGACTGGTGTGTGGTGTGTGCCAAAAGGAAGAAATCTATGCTAACGGTGCTGGATGAATCTGACAGAGAAAATTCAGACTCACCTGCTATTGCACCCTCTACCAGAGAGGGCCGTGTGATAGGACTTCGTGACTCAGTTAATGTGTTCTCCTGTGAGGACATGGGGTGAGTATCCAGTGAACGTTTTTTGATTTCTTGTCCAAAAGAACCTTTGCTATTAAGATGACCTCGTCCCCTGTTCGGAGTAACATACATTCGAAGAGAGGAGGAGGAGTCCAATGGTGTATTATTAAAATGTGATACTTCTAAGGTGTCCTATGTGGTGTGGTGATAATGCTTCCTCTGGAGGTTAGTGTATTGAGGGGTAGTCCACCTATATGCTTTCCCTTCCAAAAAAACTCTGTTTTATCTAGCCAAAATGTATTCTCTTTTTTTCGTTAATATGTGTTTGTTCAAATTTGCAAGGCCTTCCCTAAATTTCCTCTCCAAATCAGAACACAAGGAATTTGTTTTGAATGCAGATAACAATCTCTCTGCATCTTCAATATCCCTATATCCAATGATAACATCTGTTTATTATATTCCGTAGTCTATATGGACATCATTTTTTGGGAGCATGATTGTAGGTTTTCCTTTCATTCCCTCTTGAATTCCTCACTTATTGTTTCAATGTTGGTAAAGATCTGGATCCTCAACCCAAGTGGGTTGATTTTCTCTTGGCATACTTATAACATGTTTTAATATGCCAAAAAAGTGCCAATTTCTTTTCCAAAAGCTTTCCCAACCTCAAAGACAGCGAACAAATTTCTGTTTCAGTTTGTTCCTTCTTGGAAAAGTCCACCTGATAAGTAAACACCATCCAAGAGGGCAAGAGTGGTCAGATGTGAGTCAACAGACAAGGACTAACAGAGGGGCACCAAAACATCCCCCCCCCCCGCAATGGGACTAAAGATGGTATGAAAAACAGAATATATTAAATTCCAAATCATCAGACCAAAGGGATATACCTAATAAAAGAATATGCATTCAAGAATGGTCCATAAAGGATATAATCAGGAGATGAAACTGAGCGTGTCTTGACAGGCCAATGTGTGGAGCAAATAGAATTTCCCTCGGTAATGGATGTAACAAGGAAATATAGTGGTAAATTTGAGATATTAATTTCTCCAAGGAATGGAAGTATGTCAAATCCCATGGAACAAAGACCGAAGTGGTACGTAAGACTGTGAAAGATCCAAATATTATGCAGACAATTAGCAGTAATAGCCAATGGTAGTATAAAAAAGAACTACTGTATACATTAACAATATCATATGAATTGTTTTGATTATTTGTTTATTTATTTTTTTTTGGTATACTCATTTATGATTGCTTATATATTTACTAGAAAGCCTTTGTCTCTCATGCCCCCTGAGGAAGATCTAGAATGTGGAATGATCGAAACGCGGTAGGGTATGTTCTCTCTTTTCTGTGTGGTTTCATATTCTTGTATTAAGAGTTCTCTTGTAAGAACACTGTCAGAGCAATATTCTTTTTAGAAACTTTGTATTTACTATTACAATGGAAATGTGTATGTAATAAAGCTGATAAAAATCTCTTTTAACAAAGTGTCTCTTTCAATATATGTATGATCCTATTGCTGCATAAAAATCCCACTGGGGGTTCTTTGGGTATATAAAAAGAATTAACCAAATATCAACCTGTTTATAATGACATGTGATTATGGATTGTGATTTGGGTAGACTGTTTTAGAGAAATTAAAACAAATGACTTACTAACAATATGTACCTATCTCAGAGTGTGGAGAGATATGAGATACAGTATATGATATGGTGGACTGAAATAATGCATGTGCATTATCTGATAAAGTACCATGACAAATTACAGGAATATTCTTCCTAATATCTACCATTTTCAGAATACTTGACAACCATAAAAATATAATTCTCATCTAATAAGGATAGTCCACATACTTGAACCAACTCAAACAAATGGACATTTTCAAGAGGGATATCCATGAGAGCCACTTTGATACTTCATCAAGACATATATTTTATCAATGCAATACTCCTTAAGATCATACATAAACTGGGAGATTACCCATAACCAAGTGATAACATTTCTATTAATGGAACATGACTGCATCTAGTGGACAGGTAAAGAACATCTAGAATAAACTGCATTCTTGGCTGTCCAATCGTTATGTACCATGGGTGGATCCAACAGACAATGGATCTCCACAGTATATATGCATGAGATAAAGAGAACTGAAAAAAAAACCTGAAAAGAAGGAGACTTGAAAAACTGAGCCAAAAAAAAAAACTTAAAAGGACTGAAAAACTGACAGACTGAACTGAGCTGGGGTGATATACAAAAACTGGTCTTGATTCTTTGAACAACTTTTTGACTGTGACGAGAAACAAAATTTTTCCCAACCTGCTGTTCCATCCAAAGATCTCAAAGAACGCTATACCTGGGAGTGGTAAAATATTGTGGTCAAGTATCAAAACTTTTATTCATTCAAAATCCTTACTAGAACTCTACTAATATTTGATGGTGCTGTAGTGCTGGTATCGTGCATAGTGATATATATATATATATATATATATATATACACACATACACTGCTAATTATTACGTAATTGTATTGATCTGATTGAACCATAGAAATTGGATGGGAGATTGGTTGCTAAGTTTTCATATTTGGGCTGTATTGATTGTAGAATAGAGGGGTATTTTTAACTTTTTTTTTTTCTATATTGGTATACTGTAATGCATTGTTCCAAAGATGCATTTGAAGTGTTTCAGTGTGTATTATATCAGAAATATTTTTCCTAATTCTCTATGGCCGAACGATACTGAATGCTGACAAATGATATTCGCTAATCACTGAGAAAATCAAGGTTTTGATATTTACTCTGCTATAATATATATCTTGCGTTTCACCTAATTGCAATTTATTGTGGGTTATTCTTTGATTGTGTGTAGGAAATACTCATCACCAGTATATTAGCTTGTATTAAAATATATATAACTGTTTTTTGTATATAAATAAATTATTTATTTATTATTTATTTATTTATCAGATTGACGATATTTGTATATTTGGTTAGAAATCACATTGGTAAAAGAACTCAAGAAAAATTACATTGTGGTGATATATATATTCAGGTGTCTATATTATTTAATATTGTTAACTAAGTTATTTGCCGTAATGGCTGGAGGCACTGCGTCATAATTATATACGGGAGTTGGACACTGCCCAATTTATTTATAATTAATTATCACAAAAGCACTACATTACCCATCCCTGTATGAACGGGAAGAGTGGTGAGAAGAGATTAGTGCTGTGTATGGCTTCATCTCTTCTCCCCTCTCTTCCTCTTCACACAGGGGCTCGAACAGCAACAGGAGCCATTGGCTCTTGCTATTGTCAGTCAAATGTAGCAAAGAAGAAGTTGGGGGCGAGGCTGAGTTCCACAGTGTGTCTATGGAGTGCAGCTCTGTAGACTCACAGGTTGGGAGTGAGCATGGAGCATTTGTTGCTGTTTGCTATGCTACAAACTAATTGCTATGGGGACACACAAAGAAGAGGAGGAGCCAGGATCGCTGGCAGGGGACCTGAGAAGAGGAAGATAGGGGTTCGCTCTGTAGAATACCATTGCACAGAGCAGGTAAGTATGTTTGTTATTTTCATTTTTGAAAATTTGCCTTTAGTAACACTTTAAGCACTGTATATAGACTTTGAGACATAACAAAACGGGTTCAATAGTTTAACCACTTGCTCTCCAGAGGATTTACCCCCCTTTCTGTCCAGGCCATTTTTTGCGTTACGGCGCTGCGTTACTTTGACAACTGCGTGGTCATGCAACGCTGCACCCAAATTAAATTTATGGCCTTTTTTCCCCACAAATAGAGCTTTATTTTGGTGGTATTTGATAGCCTGTGCAGTTCTTATTTTTTTCGCTATAAAAAAATAGACCGAGAATTTTGAGAAAAAAACACTTTTTGCTATTAAACATGTCCTGTCAAAAAATTAAAAAAAATCTAATTTCCTCATAAATTTAGGTTAAAATGTATTCTGCTACATGTCTTTGCTAAAACAAAATCCCAATACGTGTAAAATAATTGGTTTACATGAAAGTTATAGCATTTGCAAATGGCGGTATATATACTGGGCTTTTTTTTTTAATTTTTACTAGTAATGGCAATCAGCAACTTATAGCAGGACTGTGGCGGGCATTCTGACACTGGGGAGAACTGACTTGGTGTCACTGACATCCCCAGTGACACCACTACAGTGATCAGTGCTAATAAAAAGCACTGACACTGTACTAATGGCACTGGGCAGGAAGGGGTTAACATGTGGGGTGATGAAAGGGTTAACTGTGTGCTGGGTGTGTTTTACTGTGGGGCTGTGTGTTTGTGCTTCACTGTAAGCACACTGCTTTGCATGGCAATGTACAGGAGCTGACAGGGGAGAGAACTGTTTTGTTTACAAACAGTTCTCGCCTCCCATCGGAGATGCTTGGTAATCAACGGCCGGGACCCGGTGATTGACAGCCGAGGCCGCAATGGTGGCGCGGGCCCCCTACCTGGAAATGCAAAATCACTTATATATGTGTGATTTTGCGCACCGCTGCCGCCCTGTAGCAGTATTTCAGCTATAGGGTGGCGGTAAAGCAGTTAAAGTGACATTAGGGGGTATCCTTCCAAAAACATTCTATAGACATCCACTACTTAATGGCCTGTAATCTAGTTTCATTAAATATTTTATTTTCTGTGTTCTTTTGCCTTTTCCCTTTTCCTTGTAACGTCCTCCAGAACCTCTCCTCTTCCTTCTCTAGTCCATTTGTTTGATATAAGCAGTGCATGTTAGTTGTGGTCATTTGGACTGATCTATGCATGCTACACTTCACATAGTCCATAGTCCCTAGTCCACCTCAGGAATGAGCTACTCTCCCACATACAGTGTGACCATGGAGAAGAAACGTAGCAATCCACTAATAGAAAGTCTGATCACGACAACAAAAAAGTGAATTTAGAGAATTGGAGGAGGCTGAGAGCAATAGAAGGTACTTTTCTGAGTTAAGAATACATACTTAAATAAAATATTCTTTTAACACTAGAGTTTATTGTCATTTTAATCTCAAGCCCAAATATCTTCTACCCATAAAACAATTAAAGTAGAACTCATTTTTTAATTTGGATAGAGTAAGGAAGGGTTATAGCTCCTGCCATCTTTGTCCCAGTCAGGTGATTTTACTTTCTGTCCCATAGCCAAAACAGAAAGTGAAAGCAAATCCTTCCAAACTGAAGGAATCCGTGGTTGTAACCAGGGTCACCAGAAGTAGTGTCCCCATAGGAAGATTTACCCTCTATTACTGTTCAAGGTGCTGCTTTCTTCACCACATCAGTACACAATTATGCTAAACAGATGCCTAGGCTCCACAATGTAAGAGGTCTAAATGTGTGTGTTTATAATGGCGAAGAGCACGGCAGGAGCGATGGCTCTTTCCTTATATATGGGCTCCAGCAAAGTCAGGCCAGGCCATAATGTGCCAAACGAGAAAGAAGATAAAACTCCATAGTGTAATCAAGTATTCCCTTTTTATTTAAAGCAAAGAAGAGGCACTCACAAGGTATTCTCAATTAAAAGCATATCAAATAAACAGTGCTTCACTCCGGCCAGGTATCAACTGTGATGACATCACCTCGGAAGTTTTGCCCTACGCGCTTCTATACAAACAACATCATGGGGGGCACAGGCTTGATTTTACATTACACTTTAACTGCCACAACTGAGAACAATTAAAAATGAAACCTTTTTTGCATATACTTTTTTTTAATACAGAAAATAGACAGAGAGCTGACACTTTGGGGGAGATTTACTAAACTATTTATAACTGAAAAAGCGCCATCCAATATTAGAGCAAAAACCAACATACACTACATCAGGTAGATGCCCCTTTAAGTGCAGACTAACACTCACAACATGTAAAAATAAAATAAAGGTAGGCGCTCTCCAAGGCTGAATAAATAATTCCATGCAGTAATAATTAAAAATACATGTATACCAAAATGCATATAAAATAAACAATAAATAATGCTAATCAATGTCCATGAGTACATTCAGCCCTAGTTCATATCGATGCGGTGTGGCACATCTTATGTGATTCGCACAGGAACTGCACCGCATTCCTATATAAATCACATGCAATTTCTGTGCGATGCAATTTGAGCCATACATTTTGTATGGCTCAAATTGCACTGCATCCACACCAATATAGTGCAGGACCCTTTTTTCCGCACCAGAATCAGATCGCATGGGTGCTCACACCCATGCGATCTGATTCTGAACATCTCAACACATTTTGCGAACTGAATTCTGGGTGGTGTTAACTTAAAATTCACACCCGCATGAACAAGGTGCAATTATGATGCGGTGCAGAAATCTCACAGAAATAGGTGTGAATTCTGCAACGCATCAGTGTGAGCCAGGGCTGAAACTGGTGCACTCATAATCTGGTGCAGCTGTGCATAGTAACCAATCAGCTTCTAGTTTTTTTTTTATCAAAGAATTACTAAACAAGCTGAAGTTAAAAGGTGATTGGTTACTATGCACAGCACAAGATTCTGTGTGCTCCAGTTTTAGTAAAACCCCCACTACGATCCTACCTTAACTGCTTCCCATCCGGCCTATTTCAAAATGATGGCCAAGCAGGAGCTTTCCCATTCTTGGTGGACGTCATATGACAGTTGTGCACCTCCTATGCGCTCTAGTGGCCATGCTGTGGCTTGATGTGTCACCCTCTGTGTCCATTGCATACAGCGGATGATAGATCATTTTATTGGGCTGGCCCAGTACCATGGTATCACTGTGACCAGGGGCGGACTGACAACTCATGGGGCCCCCAGGCAATATGGGATCATGGGGCCCCTGTGTCCTTGCCCAAACTCAAAAAAGCCTATGAAAAAGGTACCAGGGGCATCTCATGGGGCCCCCTACTGACCCCGGGCCCTCGGGCTGTGCCTGAGTTTCCAAATGGTCAGTCCGCCCCTGACTGTGACTAATCACAGCAATGACTATATTCAATTAATGGTTTTCATTCACAACCATTCATTGTACACTATTGTCATGATCTATGTGATTAGTCACAGTGATCGCATGGTACAGACAGGGCCAATCACAGTGCATCTGTACCATGTGATAGATGTGGCCACAGATATCACAATGTGGTCACAGCTATCACAATAGCAAAATAGCAGATGTGGCCACAGCTATCACAATAGCACACAGCAGCAATAGATGCTATTCACAAAAATCATTGCTTGTAACAGTTATCACTGTTATAAGCAATCAAAGTTTAAAAAAAAAAATAGAAAAATTCCCTGATCAACCCCGTCTCGGAATAGTACAGTGTCCCTTTGGTGACATAAAACTACTCTTCGACATTAAAAAAAAAGTTAAAAAAAAACGTGAAAGTGTCAGTGCTGCGCCTTTCTAAGGGCTGTCTACAACATCCCTTTATGAATTCTCCTGTCTCCTTTTTTTTCAGCATATTATTATTATTATTAATAATCATTTAATTTAGAGATTACTACTGAAAGCATGCCGCTCAAAAAAATTAAAGGAATACTTTGAAAACACATTAGATATCAATGGGGAAAACTATCATGCTGGATATCTATACTGATATGGACTGGGTAATGTGTTAGGAACGTAAGGATGCCTCATCATTTGATAGAAATGAAAATGATCAACCTACAGAGGACTGAATTTGAAGACACCCCGAAAATAAAAATGAAAAAATTATGCAGCAGGCTAGTCCATTTTGCTGAAATTTCATTGCAGCACTCAAAATGGTATTCAGTAGTTAGTATGGTCCCCATGTGCTTGTATGCATGCCTGACAATGTCGGGTCATGCTCCTAATGAGACGATGGATGATGTCCTGGGGTATTTCCTCCCAGATCTGGACCAGGGCATCACTGAGCTCCTGGACAGTCTGAGGTGCAACCTGGCAGTGTCAGATGGACCGAAACATGATATACCAGAGGTGTTCTATTGGATTTAGGTCAGGCGAGTGTGGGGGCCATTCAATTATATGAGTTCCTTCATCCTCCAGGAACTTCCTGCATACTCTCGCTACATGAGGGTGGGCATTGTTGTGCATCAGGAGGAACCCAGGACCCACTGCACCAGTGTAGGATCTGACAATGGGTCCAAGGATTTCATCCTGATACCTAATGGCAGTCATGGTACCATTGTCTAGCCTGTAGAGGTCTGTGTGTCCCTCCATGGATATGCCTCCCCAGACCATCACTGACCCACCACCAAAACGGTCTTGCTGAACGATGTTACAGGAAGCATATCGTTCTCCATGGCTTCTCCAGACCCTTTCACGTCTGTCACATTTGCTCAGGGTGGACCTGCTCTCATCTGTGAAATGCACAGGGAGCCAGTGGCAGACCTGCCAATTCTGGTGTTAAATGGCAAATGCCAATTGAGCTCTATGATGAGCACAGGGCCCCCTAAAAGAAATCAAGCTCTCAGGCCACCCTCATGAAGTATGTTTCTGATTGTTTTGTCAAAGACATTCACACCAGTAGCCTGCTGGAGGTCATTTTGTAGGGCTCTGGCAGTGCTCTTCCTGTTCATCCTTGCACAAAGGAGCAGATACCGGTCCTTCTGATGGGTTAAGGACCTTCTACGGCCCTGTCCAGCTCTCCTAGAGTAACTGCCTGTCTCCTGGAATCTCCTCCATGCTCTTGAGACTGTGCTGGGAGACACAGCAAACACAGGTGGTGCCATGGTTGAGATTCAAACCAATGACCCTAGTACTGCCAGGCGTAAGTGCTAACCATTTAGCCACTGTGCTGCCCATCTAGTGCACCTGTTGTTAATTTCACTAACACCAAAGCTGCTGAAACTGATTAACAACCCCCTCTGCTACTTAGGCTGGCCATACACTATACAATTTTTTGTCCATTTTCTGCCCAATTTCCTTTAGATTTACTTTCAACTCTGTAGTGCAACAGCCTACCTAATTAGATACAATTGAAAGTGTTGTTAGGTTTGACCTCCTATTATATGGTTTTTGGTAAATCTAAACCAAAAATCTCAAGAAAATTGGATAATCTATGGCCAGCCTTAACTGACCAGATCAATATCCCAGCAGTTTCATTGACTTGATGCTAATCTCTGATTAAAAAGTGTTCCATAAAATTTTTTTGAGCAGTATACATTTGACAAAGAAATGTGGGAAGGGTGATAGAAATCTCCCCTGGTAGGAACTTCACAAGGTAAGTCAATTGTGAGTGGAGGTAAGTAGAGGGTAAGCACCAGGGGTGGACTCAGAGAGCGACTGACAACTCATGGGGCCCCCGGGCAATAGGGGATCATGGGGCCCGTGTCCTCCTCCACACCCAAAAAAGCCTATGAAAAAGCCAATGAAAGGTACCAGGGACATATCATGGGGCCCCCTACTGACCCTGGGCCCTCAGGCATTGTCCGAGTGCTCCAATGGTGGTGGACTGATGATTCGAGCACTCGGGCAATGCCCGAGGGCCCAGGGTCATTAGGGGGCCCCATGAGATGCCCCTAGTACCT